GTTTAGTGCAACAGTTTGGTCATCAGCTACTAATTCCTATCTAAACTGTTAGACTGAATGCAAAATCCTGTCCTCAAACTCATCACAGGATCCATAAAAACTGCGCCAACCCTGGAGATGCAGAGTCACATCCAATGAAAGCAAGATTAGATTATCTGGTATTGGAGATTCCACATGACATGCAGCAGCCCCCCCCCCCCCCCCCCCCTTGTGTTTGGAACTAAAAGGGAACCCACCAAAAACAAAAACCAGTCAATGTTATTACAATAACCCATATGCTGGTGAAAAAGATAAAGAAAAAAAACCAGGAAGATGTTGATCACATCCCCCATCCAGCGCTGACTGGTCTATAAAAATAAAGGTCTAGTCTAGCCCCTACATGTCTGTTGTATCACAAGGCGTGAACAAAGTCCTTTTTAAAATCTTTTACTAACTTGAATAACAAGCTCTTTCCTAGAATGCTACGTCTTCTGTCTTCTCTTCTGCATTTTATTATAAGGAGTACAATGCCCTCAGCTATCTCACTCCAAGCCCATCTTTTTGGTGTCCCTTGTAGTCCCCCCCCCCCCCCCCTCAATTTTGGTCTTTCTCATATTTGTTTTTACTGCCTTTAATTCTGTGTTTTTACATTTTCATATGTTTCAGCTACCTTGAGTCCCCTCTCTCTCTGCAAAAGTTTATCAAACTATTCAGCCTTTCTGATCTGTAATGTTTGTAAGAACTGTATCATTACTATTTATGATCAGTTCACTTGGTTGATTATATCTTCCTTGAGGTTCTGTCAAAGGTCTCTGAGCTTCCTTTCGTCTTCTTCTTCTTCTTTGCAGCGGAAAGTTCTAGTTGTTCAACCACCTCTGGACTTAAAAAGTTTTCTTCTAGAACTTGAGTGGATTTTTTATGGGCTCTGGCTTTAGCACCTCAGATTTTGGTATTGTTCAAATCTGTGTAGGTGTACGCTAGTCTGCCCACAACCCCTCCCCCCATACACATCCACCACCTAATTGTTCTTCTCTAGTCTTATTCAGCCTTTCCGCATCAGGTTTTGAATGGACACTGGGTGAGAGCCTTCATATGTGCTACATAGTTGCTGGTATCCATGGCTCAGATGTTTTATCTATCCATCACTAGTGTGGCTGACCTCTGGATCTGCTTCTATTAAGTCTAAGTGACAGGGATCTAGGGATCTCCAAACCATATGAACTACTCCCATGTGAAATCAAAATTAGGCCTTTATGTCAAGGTAACTGCACATCATTTAAAATTCACTGCTTGTTTGATCAACATCATATGACCATTATGATAAGATGTATCATGTACCATATATTTGCAGAAATGGTTAGAGAATGTGATTTGGGGTGGGGGAGGGGAGTTAGGAGGGAAAGAGAGAGAGAGTGACATAAAGAAAGAAAAAGAAAACCAAAAGATCCCTTTTCACACCATTAGGCATACTGGACATAGAGTGGTAGACCTTTTTTATTTAACGGACCAACTGGCACTTGGTCAACTTGATGTGGTCAACATCACACTGGTCACCTTTACTTCCCAGAACTATACCTGGTCCCTATATTAGGCTGGGTTGAGCGGGGCGACAAAGTCATTTCTGAAATTAATGTGGCTAACTATAGTCAAAAATAAACAAAATAATTAAATGCACACAATGTGAAAAAGAAATAGGAAAACTTGTAAGAACTAAACAAAAGCGAATGAACATGACTGACCAACAATGCACACAACTGGGTACGTCCTTTCTGTGCAGCTTCATGTATTGGAGTAAAACCCCACCGATCCTGAGCATTTACGTAAGTGCTGAATTTGATCAGCAGGGCTGCAATGTCCACGTGCTGCAAACAGTCGGTTGACAAGTGTTGATATCAATTACGTATCCCATCATACACATCTCTTTTACTCTTAAACTACTGCTCCCTAGCAAACACAACCAACCGGAGTGAAGTTTATCAGGGATTTACAGAGCTGGCCTCACTCAGGACCCATGAGGCAAATGTGTCTGTGTGTGAGAGACAGACAGACAGAGAAAGAGATCTGACAGTCATAAAGGGATGAGAGAGAGAGAGAGAGAGAGAGAGAGAGAGAGCGAGACACACACAGGGAGAAAGGAAGAAAGATTTTCAGAGAGAGATTTGGCAATCAACTGAGATATGTCAACTTTTTAAGGAGTTAGAGGAGAAAAAATGAACTCAAACTTTATTTTCAAAGGCCAATCTTACATTCCAAACACTAATTTTTCAGGCCACAATTGAATGTTAACAATAATGCATGTTTACACACAAAAAAATGTATACAATAAAATAATGCATACAAGCATCTTGCATACACAATCATGCTCACTCCGAATATAGACGTAAACATACACTCTTATATGCCCATATATACATACATACACATCCTGTAGCACATCCATAAATATACACACTTATATATACATCCTCATACATACATGCACTTATGCTCATATGAATTCATAAATGCACTTATGCTCATACAGACACATACAAGTACCCACATTTATACGTACAAATGCAGGTTCTCAAACTCTCTCTCTCTCTCTCTCTCTCTCTCTCTCTCTCTCTCTCGAAGAGAGAGAGAGAGAGAGAGAGAGAGAGAGAGAGAGAGAGAGAGAGAGAGAGAGAGAGAGTGAGAGAGAGAGAACTTTGTAAGAGGATTTGTGATGAGAAAGATATGTCAGAATCATTTTAAGTACTGAGGGAAAGAAAAGGAGGCAAAAAGAAAAAGAACCAAAGCAGGCAGAGAAAGATGGACGGTGGAGAAAGATGAAAGAGAAGGAGAAAAAAGGAAAGAGAAAGAGAGAGAGAGAGAGAGACAGAGAGAGAGAGAGAGAGAGAGAGAGAGAGAGAGAGAGAGAGAGAGAGAGAGAGAGAGAGAGAGAGAGAGAGAGAGAGAGAGAGAGAGAGTCAACCAGCACACAGGCAGTTGCAGGACAACACAGACATCTTCAGTATAACAATAGAGGAGACAAAGGATTTGACGAGGTAACCAAGAGTCTTTCCAGCAGATCTGTATGTTAACATTTTTTTTTTTTAAAGGATGTGCATGCTCTCTAAGAATACTAAAGTCTAGACACAGACAAACAACCAGGACTTTCTGCCAGAGTTTACAGTCAGTGAAAGCATGGAAGACGAGGAAAACTGTGGGTATTTACCACTTTTTACTGCAGCACAGAACGGGATGAGGGTTCTGAGTCTGAGAATTTATTGCCAAACGGCTAATGCAAATGCCACAGGTTGTGCTGGTTAGGATTTAATTGTTGCCCCTGACAGAAGGTGTAACCCATTATACCCTAACAGAAGGTGTAACCTATTAAACCCCGACAGAAGGTGTAACCTATTATATCCGGACAAAATGTGTAACCTTTTATACCCCGACAGAAGGTGTAACCTATTATACCCCGACAGAAGGAGTAACCTATTAAACCCCGACAGAAGGTGTAACCTATTATATCCGGACAAAATGTGTAACCTTTTATACCCCAACAGAAGGTGCCACCTATTATACCCCGACAGAAGGTGTCACCTATTAAACCCCAACATAAGGTGTAACCTATTAAACTCCGACAGAAGGTGTAACCCATTATACCCCGACAAAATGTGTAACCTATTATATCCCGACAAAATGTGTAACCTATTATATCCCGACGAAATGTGTAACCTATTAAACCCTGACAGAAAGTGTCACCTATTATACCCCAACAAAATGTGTAACCTTTTATACTCCGACAGAAGGTGTAACTTATTATACATTTCCTAAAGGGTAGCTAAAAAAGATACTGGTGTGAAATCTAGCTGTCTCATTCCATGGAAAACATAGCTACAAAATCAAACAATTATGAACAAGTCTACAAACATCTTGACATAGACTACTGGAAGCTTATGCTCCACTGGGAAATAAAAGATAGAAGAAAGTGGTATACATACTCCATATGAAGAGGCATTGTGAAGAGGAATGAGGCCTCCTTTGTCCTGAGCATTGACATCAGCTCCATTCTCCAAAAGGAATTCAGCAACTTCAACATTGTTGTAACCAGCTGAGAACAGCAAATAATACACATCTGTGCTGTCATTTACAGTCAAGGATTAAACATTTTTTTTAATTGTCATCTAAATTTTAATGATAAAATGTCATCTATAACAAGATGAAATTTAAAAAAAAAACCAGCCTGGGAAGACATTATTCTCATTTTCAAGTCTTTCGATCCTTGCCTGGTGAAGCTTCTTGATTATTCTATCCTAAACCTGCCTGTCTTGCGCAGCTCTCATTAATTCTACAACTGGCTGCATAAAACAGATTCGCATAGGTTTGTTTTACAAATATTGCTCTTAGTCTTGTTCTTGTTTTGGAACTACTCTTAAATCTAAACTCAAGAATTCTTAAATGATTTTCATTGATACTACTCAAAAGAAATGCATGGTACTGAAAGGAACATAATTTTTACATTCAATATCTCTGTAATTGAGTGAAACTGTTCAAACTGCGCATAAGAACACCTCAGTGTTCAATCAATCAACAGTGCTTTTGCTTCTGGGTCATCAATAGTATTAAGGTGTACAGATTTTTCCATCAACTAATAAAAGTGGGCCATATGACAACAATGCGTTTCTTTCTTGTTTCTTTTTAACAGTATAAAAGGGTGTACAACTAGCATTGGTTCTTGGTCTCCAAAACAGCTCCATAATACATCACAACTGGGGGGGTCTTCATGGTCTCCTGGTTAAGCTGTTTATGCCTCATTCTCTGTTTCATGGGTTGCGTCATCCAGTTCATAAGTGCAATTAGTATGGAAATCTCTGAGGATTATCGCTGAATCTACAGAGTGTGTGATATACTTGGTAGGCAGCTAGCCATTCTGCAAAGAGAAACTGGTGGGATAAAACCCACTGCAATAAATCAGACGCTCTCGATTTTAACTTTTTAAACAACATTGTATTCCAGCGACAGGCATTTTTTAAGCCAACATAAAGTGTTACCTGCAAGATGCAGTGGTGTAGAGTTTCGACCCTGAGTATCTCGACAATTTATATTCTCATCTGTCGCCAGTTTTTGTACCCTGGCCAAGTTGCCTTTCTTTGCTGCCTCTAGTAATGCAGCGTCACCTGGAATTAGAACAGTGAAAATGTCAGAATGAAGTTTGAAAGAAAAAAAACATTAGCAAACCTAGGCTTAGTAAGTTAATGGATGGTGTATTCTTCTTCGAGTTCACCAACTGCAAACTCTGGCAGAAAGTTCTGGTTGTTTTTCCACTAGAGTTAAGTCTTTTTTCCAGAACTTGAGTTGTGTGTGCACATCAGTTTTACAGATCGGGCTTATTTGTAAACATACTGTTGGTTTCTCACCTCTCAGGCAGATGCATTCTGATTTTGAAGGATACGCCCCTAATTAGTCAATGTTACGACATGCTTGTTAGTGCGGCATTGGGTCTAATCTGTTTGTGAGTGTGTTTTTTTTTTTTAAAGTAAAGGACCCTTTCCTAAAGGCGTGGAACATTGTCCTTTACTTTTACTTTAAAGGACCTTCTCCACGCCTTTAGGCGTATAGGGCATACAGGGCTAGACCTATATTTTTATCGACCAGTCAGCACAAGATGGGTGATATGGTCAGCATCACGCCCACCGCCTTTACTTTCCATGGACTGCACCCGGTACCCACTCAAGGCTGGGTCGACCTGGGAGTCAAGGTCATTTTTGAAAAAAGTCCGGCTCCACCAGGGAGCGAACCCACAACCTTCCGATCCGCGGCGAGCGTTTTTATTTTATTTTTAAATGGGGCCCTTGAACCTACACAAGGAAACTGATAGTTGAATGTATCAATAAATTTCTGCCAGTAGATTACTCACCCCTCAAAAGATCTGCAACATCTTGGTCTCCCTCCTTGACTAGATCCAATGGTGTGTGTCCGTCACGGTTCTTTTTGTTTGGGTCAGCACCATGCTGTAAATATTGAACATTTATTTCATCACTACACACATTAAGATGGACATCTTTACAGTGCAGTGGCTAATGCACTGACCAATCAAGCTAGTGGCTCTGAAAAGTTTCTGGGATGCAAGATGACTGATGCCAAATAAACCACATTACCCACTGAGTGCCATTTAGTAAAGAAGAAAAAAAACATGTGGTCCTAAATGCCCTAAATACCGGGACTTGACCCATACATTTTGTTTGAGGCTTGTGCATTCAGGCTAATTTTAAATTCTGTACTTTCTTGGTCTGCCTCCCCTACCCCCCCCCCCCCCCCCTTTTTTCAGAGCTGTTTTGGAGAGACCATTAGATCTTTATTATTCTCTCTCTCTCTCACTCAAACATAGCATTTAAGGATAATATGACACTTTTCTCTTAGAGAAATAAAATTCAAGTGCATCTTATACTTGTAGCTAATTTCAAATCTCGTGTTTTAATTAAGACATACGATAAGCAAGAGGATGCATTCTGGGTTTGACTGAAGTGTTAAGATAATTTTCTTAAAACTAAAAATCCATAAAAACAAGCAAACACCTAATAATAAAATGTAGAATTCAGACAGAACATCCATCTACTCCATCTACAGTGTTTCCATTTGATTTGATTTAAGAACCGACATGACAGCATTCCCATAAGCACTTTGTCCCCATCTTCAGCAGCCAGCGAAGAGTTCCGATACTAATGGTGCCAGTAGCATTCTGATTAAACGTGGAAATATTATATTTCCATGTTATATGTGCTCATCATATATGGTTCTTCCTCTTCTTCTTCAAGTTCGCTGGCTGTAAACACTAGTAAACAATTCTGGCTGTTTGTCCACTTCTGGACTTTGGTCTTGTTCCTGAACTTGAGTTGTATGTGCACCCAGACTTTACAGATCTGGCTTACTGTATGTAGACTTTTGGTTCCTTCCTCATCTCTGAGGCAGATGCACCCTGAGTTACAAGGAATGTTGAATGTTGAATTAAGAATCGACATCACAGCACTCAGGACACACGCCAATATGCGCTCCGTCCCCATTTTCAGCACCAAGCGAAGAGTTAAAATTACGATGGTACCAGTAAGAGTCTGACTGTATATCTGTCTCGCCCCTCCCCTGAATGTTCGGCGTCATCCAGATCCCCTGGTAACTCCTCGCAGTGCCATTCTCCTCAGACCGTAATGACCTATCTGTTCCTCGGCACTGTTCATTCACTCCCAAAGGACCCTCACAACATCCAGCCTGTCATATATCAGTTCACAAACAAGTGGTGCAGAACTGGCCAGTCTATCTGCCTGTTCATTTCCCAACACACCGGCGTTCCTGGAGAAAATATCCAAAGGATGCTAACAACCCGGGACCTCTGAAGTGATGCTTGCCACTCTGCACGTAGCATGCCTGTCTCCACCTTTCTCAGCATGCTCTGTGAGTCAGTTACAATGACGACATCTGTGTACAGCTGATTCTCAAGCCAGCGGAAGGCAGCAGTGACTGCCCCCACCTCCATTCTCAAACTAGACACTGTGATATCATATTCCAGGCTTTGTTGTGCCAGACGACGTCTATTCGCCTTTACTATGAACCCATATGCACTTTGTCTGCCCCTCACCACAGAGCCATCTGTATTTACAATCACATCACTTGGGCGAGAATTGTCATGAATCATTTGTTGAACTTCTGATTCTGCAGCACCAGCTGGCCAGTCCCTGCACTCACGTCCCAAAGTCATTTGAACCCTACACAAGTCTGAAACATGATCGGACACTTTGACCCACTCCTCTCCTCGCCTAAATTTATCAAGCCTGCACACATGTCTATTGGTGTTTTCAGCTTGCGCCATCCAAGACTTTTCTCTTTTCAGTCTGTGACCCTTAGCTCTATCCAGGTCTTCATGTAGGAGGTGCCTCTTGTCCGCATCTACTCTGAGATATGACTTTGCTTGCAGAACTTTGAGCCGGAGTATCTCTTGTACATCCCAGAACCACCTGCATGGCTTCATTCTGTATGCGTTAGAGTTACAAGGAAACACCCTTAACTAATCACCCTTTATGACATGCTTGTTGGAGGGGAAGGAGTCTCTTCTTTTTCTCCCCCCCCCCCCTCCCCCATGGGACCCCAGAGCCCACATCAAGAATAAATAGTTCAGTAAAGAGTTGACAGTGATTCTGTACAACCCAAATCAACAACATAAGGTCTGTCATTTGTTAAACTAATTCTCTTCCCTTATCACACTGTATCCACACCAAAAAAAATATGGAAATCATTTATTTTCAAATCATGACAGTTTCATTGAAATAAATCCACAAACCTTGAGTAATATTTTACATATTTCAAATTTTCCTTTGGAAGCTGCTTCATGGAGAGGAGTGAACTTCCAAAGATCGGCCACATTCACACAGGCACCATGCTGAAATGCGACAATCCATTTTGGTAAGCAAATGGCCAACTTGTTGAATGTCTTTACTACTCGACTTACATTAATTTATTTACAATTATAAGGCAAATAACATACAGATCAATTACTGGAAAAGTAATGATCAGAAAAAAAATCTACAAAATAAATTCAGCAGTTTTTCAAGACTTGATTTGAATATTCCTAATCATGTTTTTGCAGCGAAGGAGTTTTGAGCGTAGTTTCACAGCCACTCAAAACCAGGTTTTAAAGTCAGCTGCAGTGAAACACTAGCAGGCAGATTGTTTAGCAATTTACTGCTCAGAAAGCAATAACAAACTGCTTAACACAAAAACTGCAGTAAACTTTAGGACTGTTTTGATTTTGCGGTTAAAGTTTTCTGTGGGGGTGAGGTACTCAGCCTTGCATGAATTCTCCTTGGTTGCCTTATCTGACATACATGGTAGGTCACAGGATTATTATTTGTATATTCTTTTATGTTCAATGCTGAATTAAGAATCAACATTACAGCAATTCCCATAGACACTCTGTCCCCATCTTCAGCAGCAAGCACATAGCTCCAATTCCAATGGTACTGCTAACAGTCTGACTACAGCCATCTTGCCTTTCCCATGGGCCCTGGTAACATACAAGCAAGAAAACATACTGGCAACAGAATATTTAAAACATTCACATCCGATATACACAGATCTGTATTCCCGCTGGTGTTATGGAGTTAGTGCAGTACTGAGATCTCCAAATGGAAAGAGGCTGAAGCATGTCTGCAGTGAAAGTGCTCCTTAGCCGAACCAAAACAACTATATTATCATGTTGTAGGTCATCATCATCATTGTCCTGATGTGCCAGTATATGCCACATAGGGCTCAAAGTCTACTCCTGCATCCCATTTTATCCTTTATATATTACTGAAGGAATCCAGTCAAGCACTTTTGGCCTTTCTCAAAGTTTTTGTGTGTGGTTTCTTGTGGACATCCTCGCTTTTCCCATACATTTATTTCTCGTTTTAGTGTCAGTTTGGTGATTCTCTCTCGTTTCTTCTCAGAATGTGTCCAATATAGTTACCTTACAACTGTTATCTTACCAGTGGATGTCCAGACATTTCTCTTACTTCTTCATTTATTTTTTGTTCAACATTTTCCTCAGGTGTTTTTTTTTCAAATGCACTAAACTTTCACTGCACGTGTTGTAGTTACCTTGATTAAGAGCTCTGTCACTTCATAATGACCATATGAACAGGCATTGTGTAATGGCACCAGACCCCTGAAATACATGGTAAAATAACAGCATTATTTTTAAGATAAACTATTTTTTCCCAATCTGACACAAACATACTATCAAAATGTGTTATATACTATACACGCCTTTAAAAAAAAGTAAAGGGTCATTTTTATGCTGCTGGTATAGACATATGGTGCTAGATACATATATTTATAGTCCAACCGACAGTCAATGGATCAATACATCAACTTATGACACTATCCTGTACTCAAGGTCATTTTAATAACAAATCTGTCCTCATGTAGATTTGAACCCAAGACCTTCGGCTTGGCAGGTGTGCATCTAGCCACTATGCTACCCTGTCTCCTGGAAGTCTGAGTACTTATGACAGATCATCATGTACCACACCCATAAGAATACAGGTCATCTCATTAGAATCACGGATCAGATTTGTGTTTTTGTTGCTTTTTTAATCATGTTTGCCAGCTATCACTAAGTTTTCACTTTATTTTCCTTATAACATGACGCCAGAATATCTTGATTTTCTACGTCTAATTTCTCTAACCAGTTTACTGTTTTTATCTGTTACCAAAGGACTGCCTCATTGTTACCCACAACTTTCATATTCATCATTATCATATGCCCTGCCAACTGGCATAGGTGTTCGTGCTATCTACAAATCACGATCCCTGGTTGTTTTAAACAGCTCTCTTGATGATAAATCTCCATGCCATCGTTTCAGCCCATCCAGAATCGTCTCGCTTGGTCTGCCTCTACCCCTTTTTCCACTGATCTCTCCAGTTGTCACGATGTTCTCCAATGTCTCTCTTTTCATTACATAGCCAAAGAACAGTGCTTGTCTCTTTCTTAATGTTGCATATAGAGATCTATTTTCTTTATCTTCTTTCAAACAATCGTTGTTAGTTACTCTGGTTATCTGTCCACTTCTGGCCTTAGTCTTGTTCCAGAATCTGAGTTTTGCGTGCACGTTCTCTTCCTCAGTTCGCACTTATTACAGCCTGGCCTGGGGACTTCACCACGATTTATGAGAATCTTTTTCGGTCTCCATCTGGAGTTTCTAGGGCTATTTAATGAGGTAGTCTCCCCTTACTTTTCACATCCACATGGCCTTCAACCTTTAGCAGCCTTTGAGAGTGCTAGGGTGAGTGAGCAGCCTACTCTGTGAATCTTAGAAAAGAAACATCTGCAAATAAAATCAAAATCTTGAGAATCCAGTTTTAAAATATAATTAATATAAAATGTCAGCCCGTTGGTGGTTGATGCATGATGTGAATCAGCATGAAGACATATGATGAATCAACAAGGCATATGATGACAAAAACAAACTACAAATATATTTGCTGACCCCTTATCTTTGGCATGTACATCTGCACCATGCTCCAGCAAATACTCCACCACCGAAACACGGTTATAACCGGCAGCGAAATGCAGAGGAGTGGAATGACGTCCGTCAACATCACGGCAGTTCACAGCATGCAGGTTTGTAGCAACCAGTTTCTGCAAGTTAGAATGATAAAACATGAGATGCAAAAACAGAAAAATCAATCATCAGATACAGTTAAAAAAAACAATGCTCTGTATGTTGTCAATCATCACTTCCAACTCCAAAAAGGCAGACTGGCTGGCTTTTTCAAAATTAAATAGTAGTTAAAGCCTTTGAGTGTTGTTTGCTTCTAGGCAGGGTTTTTGACACATTTCAACGAAACAAGAACTACTAACAATGATTTGTTAATCACCAACAAAAACTACTAACAATGATATGTCAATCACCAACAAGAATTACTAACAATGATATGTTAATCACCAAAAAGAACTACTAACAATGATATGTCAATCACCAACAAGAATTACTAACAATGATATGTTAATCACCAAAAAGAACTACTAACAATGCTATGTTAATCACCAAAAAGAACTACTAACAATGCTATGTTAATCACCAAAAAGAACTACTAACAATGATATGTTAATCACCAAAAAGAACTACTAACAATGATATGTTAATCACCAAAAAGAACTACTAACAATGATATGTTAATCACCAAAAAGAACTACAAACAATGATAAGTTAATCACCAAAAAGAACTACTAACAATGATATGTTAATCACCAAAAAGAACTACAAACAATGATACATTAATCACCAAAAAGAACTACAAACAATGATATGTTAATCACCAAAAAGAACTACTAACAATGATATGTTAATCACCAAAAAGAACTACTAACAATGATATGTTAATCACCAAAAAGAACTACTAACAATGATATGTTAATCACCAAAAAGAACTACAAACAATGATAAGTTAATCACCAAAAAGAACTACTAACAATGATATGTTAATCACCAAAAAGAACTACAAACAATGATACATTAATCACCAAAAAGAACTACAAACAATGATATGTTAATCACCTTAACAAGTTCTAAATCGCCAGCTTTGGCAGCTTCCAAAAGTTGAATATCAACATCTGTTCCTCCCACTGGGGGATCTTCTGTTGAGGAAATATATTCAAATATAAACAGAGATGGGGAAGTCAACACAAAACAAAACAGAACTAATTTAAAGAATGAAGGTCTTGAGCAAGAGGTAGAGATTAATGGTAGAAACTAAATATGGGGTTAAACCAATACAAGCAAACAATTAATGAAACTGCCTACTGTATATTAGACAATGACAATTATGTTTAATGGTCATTCTGTACATTATAGACTTTCTCAGGCAAATGTCACTTCCTAGTAACACTCAGGCAAATGTCACTTCCTAGTAACAACTGCCTAGGTCAGAAAGAGTTAACATATTAACTGTCATCCACAGAAGGGGCTTTAGTAACAACTTTTATCATTTTGGAGATGAAAACTATTAAGACAGTAGGTTAACAAAACAGTATTCTTGGAAAAAAAGAAGTAAACGGCCAAAGATGTGGTTACATCGTAAAAGAGAAAAAGAATTCCACATTCTTCCTCACTGCAGCCTGGGGAGAGTACAAGCTAGTGGGTACAAGCTGTTCTCATTCTCTATACCACATGATGGTCACAACTTTTCAACAATAATAGTGGTTATTTGAGTCACTTTGTGTGAATATTTCAGAATGCAATCTTACAGAGAAAGATTTTTGTTTTTTTAAAGTAAAGAAAACATTCTTTCATACTTTGGACACACACCACTTTTTTCAAGAATGCCTTCAGTTTTTTACTTTCAATTTGATATGTACATACTTCTGTGATTCAGCCAACATAACCAAGCTATTTAAATCTGCTGGATGTCATCCTGTAAAAATTCACTGTTTTCTTCCAGCCCTCTGCAGCAGTTTTTGACTACTTTTATCCGTGTGCCAACTTGTGGAACTGACAGTTCTTTTTCAGCTTCTGATGTTTCGTACTTAACCTACAGGAACTGATCATCGAGGAGAACTAGCTCACAAACTGCAACCTGTCCTGAAAGCTGAGCTATTTACACCACATTAAACATCATTTCAGCCTGGAGAAAACAACAATGTAAGGTACAGTTTGAGAAAACAAGCTAGGTAGAACTCTGCAAAGGTGATAAAGGACACTGAGGATGTACTGGCTATGAAAGTACATAGGGCTAAAGAACTGGCTAGAGAAACAGAGACTTTCAGGTGTGCCATGACGAGAGCGGTGTTATGTAAAGGACATGCTGTTTGTGACTATGTCTCGTACAGTGTGCTGATGATGGATAGCTCTTAGGATAACTAGTTTCACTGATGACTAATAGGTTTTTATTTCTCTAAACATAATGTTTTCAAAATACTGTTTAGAACCAGACCCTGATTTATTGCCTTCAATGTTTCTAATCAATATAGTAGGGGGGGCTCCGTGGCAAAGTGTCAAGCCGTTTGCCTCACATTCTGAAAGTCGCGGGTACGTTTCACAGCAGCGCCGTCTAGATCACGAGTGCAATTTTTACAGAGATCCCTGGGAATAGTCTCCGCAGCCATGGAGTTCGTGCTCTGTGCGACGCTCTGGGAAGGCAGCTAGCTGTTCTGCAGAGAGAGACTGAGCCATATGGAATAAAACCCTGTGCAATGAAGTCGATCCTCTCACCTTTAATCAATATAGTCTCAATAATGAGCCTGTTTGGTGATTCTCAGCTCGTTCTTCTCAGGAAGTGACCAATATAGTGCTATTTTCTTATAACTGTTGTTACCAGTTGTTGCTTAGACATTTCTCTTATTTCTCGACCTCTCTTGAAAGCAACAATTACGAATAAACATTGGCTTGACATGTTCACAGAAGCAATAAGGTTGGGAATGTCAAGCATAAAGACATCACAATCTAAGTCACAAGACAAACCTCTCAACAGTTTCTGAATGTTCTCTGTTGCTAACTGAGCAGCTGTGTAACCTTGAACTGAAACAATACTCGAGTCTACAGCGTACGACATCAGAAGTCGACAGGCCTGCATGTTGCCTTGCTGTCCGACACGGTGCAACGCTGTTTGACCTAAGCCATCGAGAACATTCACCTGAAGAGTAAGACATGTAGGTGTTATGGGAAAATGCAAAATAAGTATTTCAGTGTTACATAAGTTCAAGTGGATAGACATGACTACCAACACCACATGGCATAGACTTTGAGAAATAGTAGTAATCAATATACATATAAACCATAATTATGCTTTGCATGTTATTCTGAAATAATTTCTTATAGTAATTTCTTAAACAAACTAAATAAATCTGGCCATTGCCTGCAAGAAAAATAATATCAGCAGTCTCATTACACCTTTCTGCAACTCGACTTTAAACCACTTTTGAAAGGATTAGCAATGTCTGACAGATTATGTTAACACCAAATGAATGCACAGCGTGGCAAAAAGTCACTCATTTGTAATTAATATTTACTAAAAAGATGAAACATAATTATGAAACAATATGTTGAAGAGCACATATTTAGTGTGCTCAATCACTACAAGTATATGTGAAGGATGCAAAAAATACCCTCATGTCCATGAATAAGATAGCAGTAAGGCAAAATTATTCCGACAATCCACAGGTTCCAGGTTAGAGCTTTTTTCCTTCCTCTTGGCATTCATCAGATGTAATCTATGGTGAAAAGTTCTGGTGGGTCTGTCCATTTTTGGACTTTGATCTTGTTCCAGAACTTAATTTCTCTGTGCAAATCGGTTTTACAGATATGGCTTATTTTTATGCAGACTGTTGGTTCCTCATATTTTAGGCAGACTCACTCCAACTTCAAAGGAAAAATCCCTTATTAGTCAACTTTAATGACATGCTTGTTTGGTCGGCGTCTGCGGTTTAGGCGTTGCTAATGCGCTTCGTAATGCTGGGGTGCTTGGCTTGATCCCAGCTGCTAGCTACTTGTCTTGCGTTGGTTTTGACAGTGGTACCAAGAGCTGACCGTTTAGTAGCAATAGCAAACTACTCTATGAAAAATTTGCCTAGAAGAAACACAAAAGCCAAAAAATAATGGGGTTGGTTCTGCAATGTCCTGTAAAGGATCCACAACTAACTTTTATTTTTGTTGAGGGGGGTGGGCGCCAGTGATTCTATCCCCCCCCCCCCCCCCCCAAATGGGGCCCTGGAACCCACTGAGAGTGCTAGGGTGAGTGAGCACCCTACTCTGTGAATCTTGGAAAAGAAACATCAGCAAAGAAAATCAAGAGCTCAAATCCAATGTGTTTTCAAGATCATGTTCTGGGCTGCTGTATTTACTGTCAATGCAAAGTTGATAGCCTTCATGGTCTTCTCTATGATCCAGTAAATCACACAAAGTTGGTAGCCTTCATGGTCTTCTCTATGATCCAGTAAATCACACAAAGTTGATAGCCTTCATGGTCTTCTCTATGATCCAGTAAATCACACAAAGTTGATAGCCTTCATGGTCTTCTCTATGATCCAGTAAATCACACAAAGTTGATAGCCTTCATGGTCTTCTCTATGATCCAGTAAATCACACAAAGTTGGTAGCCTTCATGGTCTTCTCTATGATCCAGTAAATAACACAAAGTTGATAGCCTTCATGGTCTTCTCTATGATCCAGTAAATAACACAAAGTTGATAGCCTTCATGGTCTTCTCTATGATCCAGTAAATAACACAAAGTTGATAGCCTTCATGGTCTTCTCTATGATCCAGTAAATAACACAAAGTTGGAGTGCCTTCATGGTCTTCTCTATGATCCAGTAAATAACACAAAGTTGGAGTGCCTGAGAGGCAAGGAACCAAAAGTCTGCACACAAGCAAAACAGATGTTCGCACAAACCTCAAGTTCTGGAACATGACCAAATTCCAGAAGTGTATGAACAACCAGAACTATCTGCTGGGATTTACAGCCAGTGAATGCTAAGAAGAGGTTCACCCTGTATGTGCTGATTATTTTCTGTCTATTAATCGGATCAACCAAGAAATTAAGGATCATGACGAATGAACAAAAAAATTACAGCTTCCTACCTTTGCTCCATGTTTGAGAAGAACATCCATAACATCATAGTGGGCTTTGTCTGCAGCGATGTGAAGGGGTGCTAAATAGCTAAAAGATATTAAACAAAAAACATAGGTAAACAGACATACATACATATTTAGAAAGTGAAAAAAAAAGCAACTTGCACTAATCATGACTACTGAGAATAAAGATAAAACCAGGCAGAATTAAAATAAAATGCACACTAGCAACCACCATAAAAAAGTGCTGATGAAATAAGTTTAACGTTAACACATTCAAACTAAACGCGATTAGTATCTCATATTCTGTTTTTGTTCCTATTCTGAATATTTGCTTTGCGTGTGGTATGGTGTGGTTGGTGCGTATGTGAGTGTTTTTTTTCCTGTGGTACGATTACTTAATACAGTACCATACTCACATATGTTATTACCTTATTCTGATTTATATTTATGTGTGTGTGTTTCTGTGGTACGATTACTTAATACAGTATCATACTCAAATATGTTACCTTTTATACTACTCAATCACATATTCTCTGATATATATGTGTGTGTGTATCTTTATATTTCCTCTTCATATGGCTGCTGACAGATGAGGCATTCACATGTGACCTTTCATGCTGCCAGTCTGCTGCTTTTCTGTCTATGGTATCACACGTACAATATTTATATTAATAAACTGACACACATACTTACTCTTTGTTCTTATCATTGAGATTTGCTCCTTTCCGTATCAAAAGCTCAACTACTGGTTTTCTTTTGGGAAATGGGGAAGCTGCAGCACAATGCTAGTGGTACAGAAAAAACAGTTATTATACAAACAGTAAGAAGACGAATGTGTGGCATTGGTGGTCATGTCTATCCACAATCTTTTATCTCATGTTATTTTCAATCAACTCTGATACAGGTGATTTTCCACGCCCTGATGTCAAATCATTCAGCATCTTCTCTCTCGATCTCTCTCTGCCTCTCTTCCCCTTTAACTTCCCTACTGTCACTGTGTTCTTCAGCTTTATGAAATTTCAGGTATACACAATACTAATTTTTTTTAAAACTACAAATGAATCCATAACTCAAATCAGGATTACAAAAGTCCCACGCTAACTGTACCAGGATTCAGTACAGGCTGGAAATAACTGTATATCCTGGGACAAGAGATCTCTTGTTGGTTCCCCTCTCCTCTCCAAGTTAACTCTTCTATTATCAAGAAACACATGATGTCTAGATGGCTCATCCCCGTGTGGCTGAAACAATGCATCATGGATCTTCATACTGTTTATTACTGGTCAGAAAGAACTAAGAAATCTGGGCAACTTTCATTCACCTACAACATATGTGAATGCAGTAGTTTAGTTTTAATGGATTATTAAGTAAAAGTTTCCCTGTAGGTTCAGGAGTCCCATTTTAGTGGAAATTAAAGAACAGATTTACTGTCTAAGTATGTTATTAGAGGTGTCTAGTTAAGATCTTATTTATACTGGTTGTGTGGATCTTAAAGGTGCAGATAATGCAGCCTAAATGTTAAGATAGACAAAATGTACCTCCTGCTTTTTTAAGGGCAAACACGAAAGAAGAATATTCAGTGAAAAAAGATTTTTGCATGCCACCCCTGAGACCGAAAAAGTGAATGCTGCTCAATTGTAGGTAGAGAGAAGATAATACTCCTGGGATTCTTCCTGAACACGAATGTTTGGTACTACTCATTAAAGTCGCCCCATCTTATAGGCGTCGAGATACTGTAGCAGTTCCCAAGGGCTGTCCTGTGTTGTAGGGGTGTTGTGAGATGTTTCCCTTCACTGCCTATCCAAACATGCTGAAAAAGGGCTCGGGTTCGTTCAACGAGGTTGACAAACTATCTCCTCAAAGTCTGATAGATACAAAAACTGTCAATGTGAAATAGGTCTTACCAAAGCTGAATCGCCAGAGTAGGGGTGTTTAAAGTTGATGATGTCAAGGGAAAGGTACTTCTTCACTCTCGTCACATCTGCTTGCCGAGCCCCCTCCAATAATGCATGACCTTTATATTCACCTGCATGATTATTTGAGCAGACAATAAACATGATTCAATAGCAGCAAAGTGTCGCAGTGTCACACCAAACACTTATATGAAATACCTGTTTTAACCCTTTAGCACCAGATATTCTTGGGGGAACCCATGAACTCGTAAATCTCCCTCCCTTCAAAACAATCCTTTAAAACAAAAGACATAGTTTTCACAGGTAATTCATAATTTGTGTAAACATTTATTTATGCACATAAACAAAACAAAAGAAACCCTGTGTAGACATTTATGAAGAGAATTAAATAGGTTGCATCCCCCGATCTTGATCTTTCAAAAAAATCTAATATGATTCAAATCATGACCCTATCAACTCAGCGCTAAGTGACACCTGAGACTAAAGGCAAACTATAATTTCATAATGGCTCGATAAAAATACCCCCCCCCCCCCATAAATGCTATTTTTAGTTAAGACAATCACACTCGGCCATCCTAAACTCCTAACATGTGGAAACTAAACCAATTCCATTAACTAGACTTGTCAGGGACAGGCCAAAGGAGGTATATCAGGCTCTCTTAGGAATTTGTCACAGATGGTGATTCCGAGTAAGTGGCTTCTTAAAGAGGCATCGGGCATAAGCCTTGGTGTGTGTTATGTTAGTATTCAAAGCCTTGGAAATTCCATCTATCCACTGCTTGCACTAACGACCTCTAACTCTGCTTCTATTGTCAGAGCTCTCCTGTGTTGCTTTGTCTTGTGGTAGTCTTGACACCTGTCACAAGGTGCCTTAAGAAAATGTCTTCTGTTTTATTTAATAGATAGCAATAATGTAATGCTATAATATTTTTCGTTAACAATAATATTGCGATATCTGGCAGCAGAGAGACACAAAAGAGTTTGCCAGAACCTCTTCTACTGTCAAAATAGGAGAGCTCGTGTCGCAGCGATTTCCACTCATAGAACTCTGGTTGGCTTCAGCAGGAAGACTTGGGACAGAACCTCCTGACTATAGTATGCCAGCAGACAGTCAGCTAAGTCAAAAGTAATCTGTCTTAAGCAATTTTAGATTACCATTTTAAATCATGGGTAATAACTACCTGGTACTGAAAGAGTTAAGTTCCCTAACAGCACAGGTCTGATAATATTATAAATTTCAAATATCACAAATATCTGTGGGGGGGGGGGGGGGGGGGGGGGGGGGGGGGGGGGGGGTTCAAGGATGTTTCAAAACCATCAGAAGTCTTCACTTACACTGAATTCTTTCCTGGAGCTCCCTACTGGGCACAACATCCATAACACTCTTGTTGTGGCAGTTGACTAGTGTGGGATCTGCCCCATGGGCCAGCAGAAGGGAACAGACCTCCACTCGGGATTTGGAGGCAGCTTCGTGCAAGGGAGTAAACTGCCACAGGTCAACAGCATTCACACTGGCTCCTGCCTGTTAAAAAAAAAAAAAAAATGTATTATCGGCAAAATGATAATGTAATAAATATAGAAATCTTTCAGTGTAAGTAACTTTACAGAAGCAAACATGTATTATTATAGAGACAGGATTATTATAGATAGGTAAATATACAAATCCATGATAACTAAAATCAGAAACAATTACATACAAATATAAAGACATCTAATTTTTAGGATAGACAGCAAAAGCCCTGGTAGAAACTGAAGTGTTGGTAAAGACCTATGTATAAACAAGTTTTCTTCAACCCTGAGAGGCCATTAGCATTTTGTTTTGTTAACAGCTAATCTAAGTCTTTCAGCGCAAAACATCAAATTTCATCAAACATTTAATGATGCTGTTTTTGTTGTCTGCGTTGTCCGGCTGTAAACCCCGGCGGAAAGACATAGTTGTTTGTCCACTTCTAGACTTTGGCTTTGTTTCAGGACCTGAGTTTTGTGTGCGAATCTGTTTTAGAAATCTTGCTTATCTGCATGCTGACTGTTGGTTCCTTGTCTTTCAGGCAGACGCACTAAGAATTTGAAGGAAGCCCCCAATTAGTCTACTCAGACGACAAGCTTCTTGGCGAGGCAGGGGGTCTATTCTTGTTTTCCCTACAATGGGACCCCAGAACCCACATGGGGAACAATTATGTTTTATATAAAATGATTTTTAAAAACAAGGTCTATACCCCACCCACCTTGTCCCCCCCCCCCTCCCCCCATAGGGCCCAGAGCCCACATCCTAATACTTTTTTATGCCCATTCAAAGAAACACAAATCACAAACAAGCTATTGTAAAAGCCCATACAAATATAATTCACAAATGCAGCTCTGGTAAATATCCTCATAATAATTTCAGAAAGTTTTATACATTTCTAGTTTTGTACTGTAAATCTTTATTTATTTACAAAAATTCTTGCAATGGTAACTTACTTTCAACAGCATCTCTGTAACTTCAAAGTGGCCATAAGAACAGGCATTATGAAGGGGCACCAGACCACTAAAACAGAAAAAAAAAACAGAACATAAATATACTGGGAAAATATATTTATATTCAGCACAATGTTAATGTACTTATTCTTATCTCCAGCCTTGGGAACAAAAATTTTACCATTATCAGCATAAAGCTACTTTACTTATCCTTATCTTCAACCTTTGGAAAAAATTTTTTTTTATCAAAGTAGGCATAAGCCTAATCTGCTTATCCTTCACTCCAGCTTTAAAACATGGGTGGGTAAACTAAGCATGCAGGCAAAAACGGGCATACTTAGCAATTTTTACTGGCCCCCGAGAATGGTGTAAAATTACTAAATAATCTGCCCTTGAACTCACAAAATAGTAGAACACAAAAACATACATTTATATGCAGAAATGGAAAAGGGGGGGGGGGGAGAATCAATTTCCTAAAAAGTGATAACCTAAAGTGATAACCAGAAACTGTCACTAAATCTTTGATCCTGCTTTAAAACAAAGGCTGTAACAAATTTGCATACTTAGCTACTTACCCCTTATCTTTGGCGTGCACATCTGCACCATGCTGCAGCAGCAGCTGCACTATTCTTGTCCTGTTGTAGCCAGCTGCCAAATGCAACGGCGTGGACTACACAAGCAGACAGAGCAAACAGGTCAGATGAAGAGGAATTTTTTCTTTTACTTACATCAACATTTTCTATAACTTGAATTCAAAACATTCATAATTCTTTATTCCTCTTCTTCTTTGCATTCACTAGCAGTAAACTTTGGCAGAAAGTTCTGGTTGTTCATCCACTTCTAGACTTTGTCTCTGTATCAGAACATTAACTTAGCATGTATATCTGTTTTATAGATCTGGCTTATTTGTATGCAGACTGTTGATTCCTCACCTCTCAGGCAGATGCACTTCAAAGGAAACACCCCCCCCCCCCCACCACCCCAATTATTTGACTTTTTTGACATTCTTGTTTGGAGGTGGCAGTTGGGTCTATTCTTTTTCTCCCTGAACTGGATCCTGGAACCCATAAGCAAAATAATTCTTTACGAAAGTTAAACATATTGGATTTTACATAATTCAAACAAAAGTACTAACAAAGCAGTGGCAATTATAATGAACTATCCTGTGTTGTGTAGGCAAAAGGTGCCTGTTAACCTTAGACTTATGTGGTGATAACATGATGAAACTGAGAATTTTGTGGGTGAGATTATCACATAACAAGAGACAATGTGATCTGTGTATTTCATGTTTTGTGCTTCATTACATGCTAATGTAACAACCCGTGATGAGATCTGCCAGACAATAATTTGTGCAATATTTTATTTGTACACTCATTATTTTGGTCATATAACAGTTCTAGCACATAAGATGTGGTATACCTTACAGAACGGAACAAATCAGTTTATTGCTGTCACACTGAAAAGCACAAACTCGTGAAGTCATGACACTTATTAAGCAAAAGAAGAACTGACAACTTATAAGCTCAAAATACTGAACAAAGATGTTCCATGTGGAACAGCAATTAAAAACCTAGAGCACATCCTGTGTGAAAGCCCAACTTAAAGACTTGCAGAAATTCTCTGTTTACAGTCAGAGGCTTGTGATGTCAGACAAGGTCAGAAAATACAGAGCTATTGCACTGACCTGGAGAAGATAATGTTCTCAGAACAGTGCTGCAGATGCAGTAAGATCAGTTGAAAAAAAGAAGAAAATAGAACTTCCTGGGAAGGAAAAGCTAGATAAAATGATTTGAAGGCTGAAAGGTAAAAGTATCATTGTAGCCATGCAAATGAGGGGTAAACCTTAAATGATAAATCTAATATGTCAAAAATGTATAATATACAACAGCCAATCTAAAAGACAAGAACCAAGTATCCCATACTTTTATCCTGTCAACTTATTTTTAAAAAGCAACGACATTATACTACATAATGAATCCACAATAGACAAAATAATTTCCCTGAAAGTAGGAATACCTACAGAAAGAGAAGCTTGCAGATTCAACATTCTCTTCTTTTCTTTGTGCATTTTTTGGTCATTTAAAAAAAAAATGAAATTCTTACCTTTCTGCCATCACTGGCATGACAGTTGACATTGAGTGTTGTAAGAAGAGTCATCAGCTGTTCCTCATTGCCACTACGAGCTGCTTCTAACAGTTCATCCTTCTTATATTCACCTGTTTCAAAACAGCATCAAAACTGTCAAGCTATAATTTCACTTTATGTTTATTTAAAAAAAAGGGAGCTATCTTCATTCCAAGCACCATAATGTACTAGTTCTTATGCAAACATTTCTTCGTCTTCTTCTTCTGGGCTATAAAATGGCAGAAAGTCCTGGTTGCTTGTCGCCTTCTGGGCATTTGTTTTGTTTCAGACTTGAGTTTTGTGTTTTTACAGATCTGGCTTATTTGTGTGCTGACTGCTCCCCACTTCTCAGGCACTCCGACTTTGAAGGAAACGTTGATCCTGTCTATGCTGGCCAGGTTCCCGGCTGGCAACCTGTTTTGCTAATTGCAGATAGGTCTTGACCAATCTGAACCCTGTCCCTGGTGCACCCCCCACGTGTGGCAGAGCATCTTTGGATTATTCATTGCCTTTGTCCTCACTTTCTTAATAAACTGTAATAATCTGATGTCACATTAAATTATTTTCTTTTAGTTCTATAAGCATGGATTCCTCCAAACACTAAATACAGTATATCCCTGTGTCTTCTGGACCATTTCTTCGAAGTTAGACTGCACCTGCCTAAGAGGTGAGTTCACATACAAATAAGCCATTTCTATACAACAGACCTGTGCGAAAATCTAAAACAGGACCAAGGTCCAGAAGTGGACAAACAATCGGAGCTTTCTGTCTAAGATTACAGCCAGTGAACCCTAACAAGAAGATTACTATATTTACTACACAACAACAAAGCCTGGTACATAATATCAGAACATCTAGTTAGAGAATGGAGGTGCAGGCAGTCACTGCTGCCTTCCACTGCTTAAGAATCAGCTGTACACACCTGTTGTAACTGTAACTGACTCACAAAGCATGTTGAGAAAGGTGGAGACAGGCATGCTCCATGCAGAGTGACAAGTATTGCTCCAGGGGTCCCATTTAGTTAGCATCCTTTGGATATTTTCTCCAGGTCATGCCTGTGTGTTGGAAAATGAACAGGCAGACAGATGGGCCAGTTCTGCATCACTTGGTGGTGCATTGATGTATGACAAGCTAGATGTTGTGAGGGCCCTTTGGAAGCGAGTGAACAGGGGAGGCACAAATATATCATTACAGTCTGAGGAGAATGGCGCTGTGAGGAGTTACCAGGGGGATCTGGCCAGTGCTAAACACTCAAGGAAAAAGATTTATAATCAAACAGTTACTGGTGCCATCAGATGTGGAAATCTTTGCTTGCTGCTGAAGATGGGGACTGAGCACTTATGGGAGTGCCCCGAGTGCTGTGATGTCGACTGTTAATTCAACATTTATTACAGTCTCTTATCAAGTTATACAACCATCATTTTATTTTGTGCTATAGCCAATAACAGTAAAGAAAGAGCAGAGGCTGCACAACATAAAATCATGAAAGGCATTTAGCCCATTAGTGTAGCTTGAGGTGGAGTGCCATTACTGCCTATTTTATATACCAGTGAGCAGTGCACCTTTACTTTAGGGGCCCCTAGCTGTTTCTAATCCAGACTTACTGACAGCTGTACAGTTCATTCACACTTTTAGTTTGACCTATCCTAACATGAGAACTAGTCATGAGAACTAGTAACGAACACTAGAAATGGTGGCCAATGTAATAATAACCAAATCAGCCATTGACTGTCGAGTATCAGGGCTGTAATCCATAACATACATGAATTAAAAAATTTTTTTTAATCCATGTGGCTTCCTTCACCCCTCTGTAGAGAAAGAAAGAATAAACCTTCTGACCCCACAAGCATGTCCTAAAAGTTGACTAGTTAGTGGTGTTTCCTGTGAAGTTAGAGTGCATCTGCCTGAGAGGCAAGAAACCAACAGAGTGAATACAAATAAGCCTGATCAGTAAAACAAAGTTGTACACAAAACTCAAGTTCTGGAACAGAACTAAAGCCCAGAGGTGAACAACCAACCATAACTTTCCATTGCAGTACGCAGCCAGTGAATGCAAAGAAGATGAAGAAATCACAAAATAAAAGAGAGCTTACCTGTAAGAACAGCTTTGGCTGTTGGGTCTGCAAGATCCAAAGCTGTTTTGCCATCTGTGTTACGTATACTTGGATCCCCTCCATTCTGTAATAAGACTGCAGAGGGAGAGAGAGATATGTAGATAATGCACCTGGACAATATAACTAAGACTAACAATTGCTACTGAGTGCTGAGGGTAATTTTAAACTTAATGACTTTTTTCTGAATACAGAATACCACAGTAAAATCGTTACTTATACATGGTAACATCACAGATGTTGAATCACTGATTATGAGCATGGGTTAACAGAAAGTAAAGTATTAGTAAGTAATGAGAAATGAACAGCAAAGTCAGGTAATAAAGAAAACCAATTCAAGCGAAAATGTAAGAGGACAAATATATTATCAAAACTATTCAGCAAAATGATTACAGGCATATGTCTCTTCTCAGAAAATAAGAACAATGTTTTAAACCTATTTAACAAAGTGACTTATTCAAGTATCAACATTATAGAACAAGAGGTAAATCTATAGATGCTCCAGCTTCACAGAAAATGCTGTTAAGTATACATGCTAAAGGTTAGATGCTAAAGGTATAGATGCTAAAGGTATAGACGCTAAAGGTACAGATACTAAATGTATAGATGCTAACTGTCACATTATTATTATTATTAATGTCTTTTGTGTGTGTGTGTGTGACTGACTCCAACTAAACTCTGAATTTACACATCCTTTCATACGTTGGTTTTATTCTAATTTTGTATCCTCCACCAACAATCATACACATACATATATATATATATATATATATATATATATATATATATATATATATATATATATATATATATATATATATATATATATATATATATATATATATATATATATATATATATATATATATACACATATATTTTCACAATGTTTGCCTTACCGACGATCATTCTGATAAACCAGTGATCTCCTTGTCAGATACAATTTTTTGTTATTTTGAAGCCTCACCCTGGTTCATGCCAGGGGCCGTAATATAGCCCGGCCATAAATATGGCCTAATGGCTCTACAAGGTTTCCGAGACCTCTCCACAGGTGATCCTCATCCACATGGTGGGGCTTCGTGTCATCGGGTTTTATCGCTTGTGTGATGTTATAGTAGGGTAAAATGTACTACTACTACTGCCTTATCAACTATGAGTGTCCTTAGTCTTATCAATTATGAGTGTTCTTAGCCTTATGAATTATGAGTGTCCTTATGCTGCGGCTTTCAAAACAAGATAGAACATTTTCAGTGAGTACAAAATATACATAAATGAACACTGCTGATAATCCAAATTTATGAAAAATGCAGTTCCATCACATGAAGCATACTTAAATGATTGTTTCAGAGTATTTTAAACAACAAAACAATTAACAGTATCAAAAAAATTTTCTCCTACCTATACAAACATCAATTTTTCCTTTAATGGCAGCCTCATGAAGAGGGGTGTAGTTCCAGTTGTCTCTTGCATTTGGTTCACCTCCATGACGAAGAAGCAATGTGACGACTTCTGCATGTCCAAATGAGCACGCGTTGTGTAGCGGGATCAGCCCCCCATCGTCTCTGGCATGTACATTGGCACCGCATTCCAGTAAATGTTCAACAACGTCTTTTCGTCCAAACCCTTGGTGTAAAATAAAAATATTTATAAAATAACTCTTTATGTGAAAGACAACTGTTACTCTTCTGTCACTGTGTTTAATTCCCTTAAAGAAAGTTGATACTTATAGTTATCGCAATATAAAACCACTGTGGTCGCGGTGACACTTTTGGCAACAATTTAAACAGTGACCCTAGAAGACATAATCACAATCCACTGTTTGTTTACGTTCACATAATAATTATCTTTAAAATTTAACATTATTTGAGATTTAGAGTATAGTTAGGTTTAACCCTACCCCTAACTTCCAACAATACGAAATATTAAAGAACATTATTATGTAAACATAAACAATGAACTGCTCCCCTATGGTCGCTATAAACAAACAATGGATTGTGTCCCCTGACTGATGCCTTTTAGTACCACCGCTCATCACCATACGATTTAGGAATTAAATTTGCCCACATTTGTCAACAAATTAACTGTTAAAACATACCAACTACACGATGAAACAAATGCTGAATTAAACAGAATACAGATTAACACGGTCAGCCTCTTCAACAATAAAAAATATACTCAATGGCATGAACTGCAGTTCCATAAGCACACAAAAAGTGTATCTGCCACTAGCTTTAAACAAGAAAAAAAAAAAAAAAGCTCAACAGCAAAAGTTGTAAACAATGACAGCTATTGGCACTGATTGTAACCAAGAAAGGTAGAGACAGGCATGCTCCATGCAGAGTGGCAAGCATCAATTTGGTTAGCATTCTTCAGATATTTTGTCCATGGCAAGCAGGAGTGTTAGGAAATGAACAGACAGATTAAGTGGTTCTGCACCAACAGGTGGTGAATTTGTGCAAACAAGTTTGATGTGTTTGGGAGCAAGGGAACAATGCAAAGGTATGAATCGGTCATTATGATCTGGAGAAAATGATACAGCTAGATGTGACCTGGGGATCTGGTCAACACTCTACACTTAGAGGAAAGGCAAGACGTACATATTATCAAACTGCTACTGGAACCATCGGAATTGGAACTCTTCACTAGCTGCTGAAGATGAGAATGGAGTGTTTATGCTTATAGGGAGTGCCCTGAGTGCTGTTATGTCAGTTCTTAGCTCAGCACTCGACTACTGTATGATTATTTCTTTATTAACGTGTTGTGTTAACCCTTATCATCATATTGTTTTCCATCTTTCTCTTACATTATCACCTTGAACTTCTTCACGTTTAACTTTGTGTGTGCGGCTTCCTTCTATTGATGACGACCATCTAATCCACTAGATCCTTTACATCTTAACATTTTGTGTCATAAATCATCATCAGCATCATTTGCTGGCTGTTTGCAGTTTTGCAAGGCAATTTTACTTTGAGTAATTAAACATATTGGCTCTTCTTTCAATACCGGACGCGGGCTGGACGGCTTAGTTCGGTTTAGTGGGAGTGCTTTCCCTTGGCCGCACTGCAAACAGTGAGCGGAAAAGTCCACGAAACAAATGACATACATAGCTATCACCATACGGGTGCATTTAGGGTTACCTGTAGGGTTGCGTAGTCATCAAACGGTTGCGTGAAGGGTTGCGAAGTCATCATACTGTTGCGTGTAGGGTTGCCTATCATCATACGGTTGCGTAGGGTTTGGGTTAGGGTAAGGGGTTAGGGTAAGGGGTTAGGGTTAGGGGTAGGGTTAGAGGTTACGGTTAGGGGTAAGGTTAGATGTGAAAATTTAGGAGTTCCAAATACTGGCTGACAATCTGATGTTTGTGGGAGTGGCTCCACTGAAATTCTGCCAAATATGACGCCAATAGCGGGCGGCTGGTGCCCAATCGTTGGCGAATTGTCCGTTTGACTAGCATCCACAGGCCTTCGATTGTTTGTGTGTGTATGTGACTGTGCGCGACGTCAACGAAGTTGGTCTGGTGGACTACTACCTCGTGCAGATAGATGCCATGCCTTAAGTTTGCGACGTTGCTGTAGCCTTGCCAAGCGTCAATTTTCACATCTAACCCTACCCCTAACCCTAACTCTACCTCTAACCCAAACCCTACGCAACCCTACACGCAACCGTATGATGATAGACACCTTACGCAACCCTACACGCAACCGTATGATGATAGGTAACCCTTCACGCAACCGTAGGATGACCACGCAACCCTTCAGGCAACCGTATGATGACTACGCAACCCTACACGCAACCGTATGATGATAGCTAAGTATGTCATTTGTTTCGTGGACTTTTCCGCTCACTGTTTGCAGTGCAGCCAAGGGAGAGAACTCCCACTAAACTGAACTAAGCCATCCAGCCCGCGTCCGGTATTGAAAGAAGAGCCAACATATTTGCAGTTCACTACTTTCTGAACAATCAAATAAAATAAAATTAATAAAAATTATCACTGTTGTACTTATACAGTTATCCTACTAATGTTACAAGTATCTTCCATAGTGATGATCAATGATAGACATTATAGTGATAGTGCATCATCAAATCAAACAAACACTTATTTTAATTTTTTTTTAAATAATCTAGGGACTACAGTTTCGACAATTTGCGGTCTTTTCGGCAATTTCCGTTACCCGGAAACCGTTCAGAACTTGTTCGGGAAATCTCGGCTGGTTTCCGTATGGGTCCAAATCTCTCATGAAATTTTGCCATTGGTGGGAATTTGGACCAGCTATAAATAGCTGAAAACAGCGTGGGGGAACCCGATTAACAGCGCATGTCTACGACAGCCGGACGTCCTCTGTTTTTCTGTTACATCAGTTTGATTGAAAATAGCGATAAGGATTCAGGGTTGGCTTTAGGCTTTAAAAATTACTCGTACTGGTAATGCTAGTTATAATTGAATTCTCCGTCCAATTTTACATTCACATTTACAAATTTCTTTCTGTACGGTGGCTTTTTAAATTTACAGTAACATTTTTTAGGCAATCGGTATGTGGCTGTGTCTCATTGTCTGCCATCTTGTCCAGTGACAGTCCAATGTCAACAAAGCCAAAACAGAAGTGCGCATGCGCAGAGAAAACCTTGTTTCTAAGACGCAAGTTTTAGCAGCTGCTTTCTACATCTCATCTCCACAAAAACCTATATATCTCAGCTCAGAAATGACATACAAGCCTAAATGAGGTATCATTGGAAAGAGATTGTTTACAGCTATCTAACTGTGCTGGTTTTATCGGTGTAGAGGGCATTTTAAAAATTTGACTGAAGTAGCTAAATAATCCATTCCTGTATTTTAAGTGTTTGTCGATTATCATTTTTCAAGTAACTGTATTAGAGGAATTAGCCATACACACACAAATTTAAAAGTTTATTATTGAATTTGTATAAATTTAATTTAGTTAGTTTATTATTTGTCAGTAAGTTGAACTAAGTAGTGGACTTCTCACTGAGTCTGAGTCAACTCTCATCACACTGAGAAGAAACCTGCTGACTCTCACCTGCGGCAAAGTGAAGTGGTGTAGATTTCCGTCCAGCAGTATCCTTAGCATTTACGTTTTGTGGTGTGATTAATTTTCTGACTTTCCCTAAATCTCCATTCCTACAGGCTTCGAATAATTCTCTGCCCGGATCGTTCTGAGAGGGAGCACTGCTTTCCGTAGTTAGCACAACCCGACGACCCGTCGCCATTTTTTCTCCGTCATAACATCTCGCAGAATAACAACATTCGAAGTGAAATCTCCCGAGATAAACTCCTTCTTTCAAGCGCACACAAATATTATCCTCGCAATAATGGTACACGGACGGATGAAAGACAAATGTTTCAGTCTTCTAAGAGTTGAGAGAACTGACATCACAGCGCTCAGAACATTTGCATAGGCACTCCATCCCAACTGTCAACAGCCAGCTCATAGCTCCAATTCCGATAGTACTAATAATAATCTGATTGTACGCCAGTCTTGCATTTACTCTGTTGTGTCATAGAAGATCTGATCACTTATGGGTATGCACAAGTGCAATGATGATTTTGAAATAAACAATGAACAGTCTTGAAGAATCAGCAAGAGCTATTGGTGACTGCCCTCTACACCATTCTCTGCACATCGTGATAGCCTTTTTTGCCCTCCCCTAAAGGGCCTTGACCATATTTAGCTTCGAGTGCACCAGTTTACCACTCAGTGGTGATATACCAACCGAAAGAGACAGACGAGACCTCCAAGAGACAGATAAAAATCCAAAATTGATAAAGAAATTCCAGCCAGATCATCAAAATTTAAGGGTCATGATTTGATTATCATTAAATTTGAAAATATAGTGACATATGGCAATCATTATAGGTAAAGAGCAAAATGACAAGAATGACACGGAGATCAGACTTGTGTGAACACACTATTTAACGGGAAATGTGCAGGTTGTATCACGGATGTTGATACTAGCAGTGTTGTCAATGAACTTTTTGTTGCACACAAATATACTCTTTAAAACTATATATACGATATATACGATAGGCTTTTACAAAGCTATCTCATGTTATCACAGTCGACGTCACTGTACATTGGGCATTCCCATGCGTGCTATGTCCTCCGATGCAGCAGCCACTCCATGGTACTTCTACTAATTGTTCTCATGAGAAGATGGTTATAGTGTCTACTGCCTTGACCTGGAAGATGGCATATATGTGCTTTACCAAGCTTTACTGCCGGATAACGCAGTCGTGTTAGCGTAAGAAGTATCACTAACCCCCTACCCAGTCCGTATAGCATATGTGCTGTGTTCACCATTGCTGACTGATCCATCTGTGTAAAAGAGGATGTCTCCTAGGCGTTAATGCTGATCCGTCAGTATCCTTATCTCGGTTTTATACATTGACAAGTATCTGAAAAGTGCAGTACCTGCCCGGTGTTATGATAACCTTAATCAAGTCATGCGGGTGTATCCGTCCATTCTCTTCTTGACAGATATTGTTGTGCAATGGGTGATTAATGTCTACTAATACTCTCACGTACGTATTAACCTGAGCCATTTTGTGTCTGGTGGCCATATTCGGTGAACCCAGGATATTTCGCATGGTGCGGCACGAGACTTCTTTGTGAAGGCAAGTATGAGTCTCATGGCCTCATTTTATACGCGGCCCAGTCTTTCTAGCTAGGTTCTGTTGACAGGGAAGATGTCTAGACCCTAGTCTATAACTAGTAGCATAAGTCCCTAATAAAGAAAGTAAAGTAGGCGTTGTTCGATTTCGACATATGCATCGCCTTCAGTGCCATGAGACCTTTCCTGGCTTCATCTATGACGCTGTATACACGATGCTTGTATAGCAAGCTTCTATCGAAAGTCATGCCATGGATATGTCATATAAACATTTAGTAGTAGTAGTAGTAGTAGTAGTAGTAGTAGTAGTAGTAGTAGTAGTAGTAGTAGTAGTAGTAGTAGTAGTAGTAGTACATTTTACCCCACTAGGATATCACACAAGCGATAAACACCCGATTACACAATGTGCCACCATGTGGATGAGGATCACCCGTGGAGAGGTCCCAGAAACCGCGTTCAGCCATTAGACCATATTTATGGCCGGGCTATATTGCTGTCGCTGGCAAGAGCCAGGGTGGGGCTTCAAAATAACGAAAAATTTCATCCCACGGAGAGGGGGGGGGGGGGGGAAAAGGACTAGAATAAGCATTAAAACATATAAACACTGGCATTTTAAAATCTTTTCCCAAACAACTTGTGCTCGTTATGCCAGCGTAAAACAAGTGCATGTACTCCTAGCCTATACCAGATTTTGCCCTTATGATGTAGTAATTTTTTCTGCTGCAAGAATAACCCTTTCATCAGTCTTTAGACCTTATCCCATGGAGTGCATCTTTAATGAGAAAATCGGAAGGTGCTAAATTGGGCTTTATAGAGGATAGGGTAGCACAGCCCATCCAATTTGATGATTGCTTCCCGTGTTGCCAGACTTGTGAGTACGCAAATGGTGGTAAAGGAAAAGTAGATCTGCTTGGTTCTTATGCTGCCAAAATGTGAACAATTTTGACTCATTTTTGTTTCTTCCAGTTGCCTTATGTAAGCTTGTAAATTTATTGTCTCTCCTCTTACCTTCCATATCCCAACTGACAGTGATCATGACCTTTCCAGCCACAATTGTCTTGAATTTCTTTCTTCGTGGTAATTGCGAATGATGACACTTCAGTGTCTGTTTTTATGTGTCAGACAGCTTAGCTATCTCCACTTCCTGATTCTTTGAACACAGTGACTGGCTGTACCCTAGTTGACTGCAAATCTTCCAATCACATCACATAGACGCTTGTGAATGTTCACAACAGTTCCTTTCTCTGGCACGAGAAACTTTATGACAGTTTGCTGCCTATAAGGCAAGTTGCTAATATGCTCCATTTCAACCATATAGGGCAGGAGTATTATCTGGCCAGTTGGGGCGCAGTTTGGTAGACACAAAAGCCATATGCAATATTTGAAACTTGCAAAATGTCCTACTTCTGTCTTCATCATTAGCCCAGAAAAACAATATGGTGCATTACTTTCCGAATGCAGTCATATATATATATAAATATATATAAACTGATAGGCAGCGCTGTTATCAGTAATTACATAAATCGCCGTGCCCAGCAATGGGAGTTCAAGGGCTCAATTGGAAAGGGCAGGATAGAAGAAGGAGGAGGAGGAAAAGGAGAGGAGGAAGAGAAGAAGAGGAAGAAGAACTTACTCTACACTATATACAGAGAACCAAGAGGCAGTACAGAAAAGAGAAAATGTATTTATACCGTTTCTTTCTTCTATAGTCAATGCCAAGTGGCGTTAATATTCGTGTCATGTCCACAGCCTGATGGCTCATGTACCGTAAGTCAATTCTAATACAGATAGTTTTCCATGCCGTGATGTTAAACTGTCAATTATATCTTCGCTAGGGTTCAAGCTCCACCACTTTCCCTAAATCTTTTCCGTTGTCACGACATAATCCTGTTTCCCACTTCGCGCAAAGTGTCTTAGAGTATGTAGATTAGCTCCTTCTGGCGTCAGCAGAGTTCTTGAGTTAATTTCTTTGAAGACATTTTCATTACACTTTTTATTTGATTATGGTGCTCTCATAATTCATCTAAGAAAAGAGGGGTAATTTAAATATAGTGGCAACATAAAAATGCATACGCCTTAAAAAAAAAAACCACACTGGAGAGAAAAGTTGACGGCAAGCAAGCAAGAGAAGATAACAAACTAGTGTGTGTGTGTGTGTCTTTGGGAGGAGGGGGGGGGGGTGGGGTGGAAAGGGGGATGGGGGTTGTTACATTAAGAGATGGACAAACAGCAGCTTCAGAGTTTGTACTACCAGGTTGAAAGACATAGATACATAGATAGCCTCTTGGAGATTGATTGGAGCTAAACTTCATCATGGATAGGGCATTTGACTGACTGAATTGGTTTGCAAGCAAATCAGCCATTTAAGATGTCCCTCAAGGCCACTGTTGCAAATAAGGAGGAGTTTCGTTTCTCTGTGTGACACTCGCTGTGGGTGCTGTATGCATATAGACTGAACTATATAGGATAAAACAAGACACCCTATGTGATGTTTAAGCATTTGTATAATCATGATGATGATTATAATAAAGTCAATCTTATCGCTTTCAAACACCTTTAATTTGTTACTCTTTGTTATCAATAACTGGGTTCACTACTCTCTGGAGTAGTTAGAAAATAAGTCGTGGACAAACAGAAAATAACCAAACCCAAGTCATAGGTTTCCAACAATTTATTTGTTAACAGCCACATGTCACAAGGCATTATAGGAATATATATTAGATCCTTTGTTTGTAGATGACTCAATGAAACACATGGATAATGAAAACAGCATTAAGCCAGTAATTGTTACTATATCAGAACTTTGGATCAATTTGTGAGACAGAAGGAAAAAAGCCTGTCAGGCTTGATTATATCCAGTGATCTCCAAATTGGGAGGGGTGGGGTGGGGGAGGGGGGAGGGGGGGGGGCCCAGAGGTTTCAATGGGGACATCAAGCAATTTTGAAATTGTGTGCATTTTTGTTTGTAATAATCTGTTATATTACTTTTTTTTTATAGTTTATTTATAAATAAATTATTAACATAGTTTAAAAACTATTTATAAAACAAAAAGTCAAGGACCTTTTATGTTTTCATAAACAGTTTAAATATTTACAGTTACAAATCTACATTTAATTATAGATGAAAAACACATTCTGACCAAAACTATCTCTATACTTTCTGTCTCCTTTGTTGTTGAATCTATTGTCCTCCTCTTTTTAATCGCATTGTGTCATGCTGGGTGAAGGGAAGGGGGCATGGGGGTCTTGTAAAATACTCAAAGAGGCAGATGGGTCTTGGGATATATTCAAGGGGGGCGGGGGCAACCTGATAAAGGTTGGAGACCACTGCACTCCCTAGTTGTCAAACCCGACAACCACTGCCAACTGTCTGTCGTTGGGTAAGTGCATTTACAACTTTTTGACAGGTGACTGTGTTAACCCTATGTTGGTTTTTGACCGAATGTACAGATCTATATGTCTGTATCTGAATAAGGGCAATGTCAAATGTCAGTTAATTGAGTGCATTCACCATTAAGTTTACAGTTTATTGAGTGCAATGACCGCTATGTTGGCAGTTGACAGTGCACTAACCACTATGGTGGCAGCTGACTGTTGCC